TCCTTTATTCATTCTGCGTCTAGATACTTAAATAAATTCTCGAACTGTTCCTATGTATTCTGTCTTGTTTCTAACATTTATTAATTCTTTTGAAACTATTTACTTTTGAAATATCAGATTTAGTTCTAGAAATTGAGAATGGAAAGTTAAAAAAACAAAATAGGGAAGAGCTACTTTACATAGTGTCAAGGATGAGCCCTCTGTAGCTAATATTTAATAGATGTTTAAATGAAAGAATAGAGCATCATGTAATAATCTGAGAGAAGAGTGTTTTATGCAGAAGGAAGAGTAAGTAGAAAGACCCTTGGTGGGGCAATGTGTGCTTATTGAAGGTGTATCCAGGAGGTCATGATGGCTTTAGCAGCTTGATCAAGGGTGAATATCATTGGAAAAGGAAATTTCTGAAGGGTATACAGGAATCAGAATATATAAGGCACGTTCAAGTTTAATAAAGACCTTGAGTTTTATTCTAAGTATGATTAGAAGCCCTTGGGAGGGACAGGGGAGTAAAATAAACTAAAATACAGTTTTAGAGTGTGTGAGTGCTATGTGGAGAGCACCCTGTATATAGAGGGATCAGGAGTGAAAACGAGTCCACTTCAGTGGATGTAGCGATATTGTAAGAGAGAGAGAAGTGGCCTTGATTAGGATGGTAGCCCTGGGGGTAGTGAGAAGTGATTAGATATATTTTAATTATAAGTGGTAACAACAGAATGGCAAATGGACTGGATATGGGATGTGAAAAATGAGAGAAATCAAAAATGTCCTTTAGGTTTTAGACCTGAGCAATTAATGAATAGTATTACCCTTCATTGAGATGAATAGATTGAGTAAGGGGCTAGTTTGTGTGGGGCATGGCGGTGGAAATCAAGAGTTGGATTTTGAACACATTACATTTTAATACATATTAGATATCCAAGTTGACATGCTAATGTGACAGTTGGACTTTTGAATATGAGACTTCTGTGGCAGATCTGAGCATTGGCTAATAGGTGGTGTTTAAAGTCTTGAGAAAGGGAGTGGGGTTAGTTAGAGAGGTGAAGGCATCCACAGATTGAGCTCTGGAGCCCTACAACATTTAGAGGTCAAAAGAGGGTCAAGAGAGAACATAATGATAGAAAAGGAGCAAACAGAGAAGCAGGCAGAAAAGCATGTGGTTTCCTGGAAGCAAAGTAAAGAAAATTGTTCAAGAAATAAAAGGAAATCAATTATTTTGAATGCAGCTGAGACTTCAGGAAACAATAAGTGAGAATTAATCTTTGGATCTGGCAATATCAGGGAACGATGATTTAAAGAGTAGTTTGAGGAGCCAGCTCTGTGGACTATTGGTTAAGTTTGGCATGTTCTGCTTTGGTGGACCAGGTTTAGTTTCTGGGCACAGACCAACACCACTCCTTAGCAGCCATGCTCTGGTGGTAACACACATACAAAATAGAGGAAGATTGGCATAGATGTTAGCTCACAGCAAATCTTCCTCATGCAAAAAGATGAAGAATGGCAACAGACGTTGGCTGAGGGCCAATCTTCCTCAGCAAAAAATAAATAAATAAAGAGTAGTGTATTGTGAGTAATGGTGAAAAAAAGTTGGAATGAGATGGGTTTAGGAGAGACTGGGGCATCAGGAATTGCAGACAGTAAATACAAGCAACACTTGGAGGAGTTTTGCTACAAAGAAAAGAAGAGAAATGAGGTAGTATTGGAGGAAAATGGAATCACAACTCTCATTGCTTTGTTGTTATCATTGCTAATGCTGTTATTGTTGGAGATGAGAGACATTTTAATATATTAGTGGCCTGATGGGAATTTTCAACTAGAAAGTAAAACAAAAGAAAAAAGAAAAAAATATTGATGCAAGAGATGAAGAGGTTAATTGTAATAGCAAATTCCTTGAAGAGACAGGTAAACAATAAAAAAAAGAAAAAAAAAAAAAAGATTCTCTCCAGTGCCCTAGTTTCCTTAGAGAGTAGAAGATACTTTTCACTAATTTTAGATGAAGGAAGGTAGAGTACAGATGTAGAGAGGTTTTAGAGTTAGAATGGGATCATTAAGCAATTCTCTTCTGATTGCTTCTTATTTCTCAGTCAAATAAGCAAGTTCATCAGCTGAGAAAGAGGAGAGAGGATGATGTGTCAAGAAGAGAGAAGGTATAAAATGGTGTGCACTTAAAATAGAATCTAAATTTCTCCTGAAGAGATTTTAAATTACTCAAATCAAGCTCCTATTTGATCTACTCTCAGCCTCTCTCTCAAATTTCATCTACACCCAGTCTCTACTCCCTTCTCCCCTCTCTGTTACAGAACCAAATCTAGGAGCCCTGAAAAGAAGAGCCTGGCACACGCAAACACATTCCGGTCCAGAGAAAGTTGTTTCCAAGTTCAGAAATGTATTCATACGGTTCACCATGTTACTAGGTCAAAGATTAAAAACATGATGCTCTCTTTAGATATAAACATAGTCTTTGAGCAAATGTAACTTTTATTTCAACTTACAATCTTATTAAATGTAAATAGTTGGATAGTCCTGTAACATAATACAGTATAATATACTAAATATAACATAAACATACTATAATTAATGTTATATAATAATTACACCATGATGAAAAAATAAAAATTTATCATTAAAGTTAAGAACAATACACAGATACACTGCTGTGACTATCATTAATCATTAGCATTATAATTGGTCTAGAAGTGATAGTCTATGTAATTCCATTACACTTCGAGCAACAAACAAGCAGTGATATTAACAGATATATAGTAAGAGAATGAACACAGTTATTATGGCGTAGTTGGATAAACTTGTAGAATAACTACTTTCTCACATAAACCTAAGAACTATGAGATAGGCAGTAGTTTTTTCAGAATCCAGTAGTTGAGATAAATGAAACTTAGGACAGTGAACCTGCTAAACATGACACAAGAATTGATTAGGCAAATATGATTTGATTTGAACATAGATAGCTTGAATCCAATTTGGGGGTACTCCAGATGTGAACATGTGAGGGAGGTGAACCTTAATGGCACTAAAATTGAGCGTCTCTTATCTTGTTTAGAAGTATATGTGAGTGTAAGTCAAGTTTTACCCAAACCCACCAGCTTTATGGGCACAACTCAAATCAAACTTGAAGTAATGGTGTAAATTATCCTAGCCATTCACGCCACTGTATTAAATAGTGACCGTTCTTGAAAGGACAACCCTTTTCCAAGTATTTTTCAGTTTTCTTGGTCTCACCTATAATTCATCCTCCACACTTTTCATTGAAATCATACATACAGCTTTTGTGCCATACAGGAAAAAAAATAGGAGTGAAAAAAGCAAAGTAAATTTTTGAGACAGGTGAAAATTGATTGTCACATTGAAATACAAGTTTACAAAAAGTGAATGTAAAAGAAGAGTAAGATGTATATAGAACGTTGTGATACAAAGGAAAAAACTCCGCTCAAACAGCAATGCATTTCACAAAGGCAAATACAAGCTAGAAGGAAAAATTAAGAAACAGATGTCAAAATTCTATTTTTATTTCTGAAATAATAGTTTATGAATATCAGAGAAGTCGCTGAGTTTTAAACAAATCAGGAAATATCTCTTGACTTTAATTCTCTACTTATTTAATTCAATTTGTTTAATTTATTCTTTCTTTCTTTTTTTTTTTTTTGAGGAAGATTAGTCCTGAGCTAACATCTGCTGCCAATCCTCCTCTTTTGGCTGAGGAAGACTGGCCCTGAGCTAACATCCATGCCCATTTTCCTCTACTTTATATGTGGGACGCCTGCCACAGCACGGCTTGACAAGCAGTGCCATGTCCGCACCCAAGATCTGAACTGGGGAACCCTGGGCCTCCAAAGCAGAATGTGCAAACTTAACTGTTGCGCCACTGGGTTGGCCCCCCTAATTTATTCTTTTGACCTGACTCTTAGAAATGCTATTTTTAAGATTAAATTTATAATGTTCCCTCTTCTCCCTAACTGGTAAATACCTGCATAAATTTATAAGACATGCTTTGGGGGCCAGCCCAGTGGCCGAGTGGTTAAGTTCACACTCTCTGCTTGGCGGCCCATGGTTCACTGGTTTGGATCCTGGGCGCAGACTTACACACTGCTCCTCAAGCCATGCTGTGGCAGCACCCCACGTAGAAGAACTATAATCACTGACAACTAGGATATACAGCTATGTACTGGGACTTTGGGGAGAAAAAAAAAAAGAGGAAGCTTGAGAACAGATGTTAGCTCAGGGTCAATATTCCTCACCAAAAAAAAAAAAAAAAAAGGTATACTTTAATTTTAAAAAAAAGGCATGCTTGGGAAGCATTATAAAATAGTGGTTAAGAGCCCAGATTTGGAGATGGACTATTGGCATTTAAGTTGCTCTACCATTTAATAGCTGTATGACCAAACTTGTGAAAGCTACTTAACTGCCCTCTGCCTCATTTTCCTCACCTTAAATTGGGATAATAAAATTTTCTACCTCATCAGACGACCTGAAGTTTAAGAATGATAATACGTATAAAGCAATTAAATCAATCCCTATTCTACAGTAAGGTAAAGATGCGATAGTATTTGTGTGTGTGTGTCTAAAGCCATCCCACATGGCACAGACTTCTTTCATCAATGTTCTTGGATAAAACAGACTCATCAGTTTTATTACTGCGGCAGAAAGAGAGAGTTAATGCACACTGAAGCATAATTCATTTTTGATTCTTCTTACTTTCTCATATCCTCTATCTAGTCCATTAGCCAGTCCTGTTGATACCACTTATACTTAAAACATACCTAAAACTAACCATTTCTCCTTACTCTTGCTCCCTCCCCATACAAGGTGCTCTCCACTTGGTGCTCACATAAAATAAATGTATGGAGAACACCCTGGGTATCTTCGTTGTTCTTTTAGAAAGGAAATTTACTGCATAAAAACCAATATTCTTTAAGAAGAAAATAACGTCACCTGCAGTGTCGCTATTCTATTAAAATTAACTGATCAATTCCAAATTCATATTATAGAGACTCAAAAATGAAGGCTATCAGTCACAAACAAAGAAGCATTAAGTGCATCAGACGTCTGCTGGTCCTCCATCTCATCGCCTTAGCAACAAGCTGTGTGGTGGCAGAACTGATGAAGCTGAGCAGGACGCATGGTTGATTCAAGGACACCCCTCCTGATTAAAAGTTAGAGCTTTTCTTCAAAGCACTTTTCTATAAGAGATTCTCAAATTGATGCAGAGGAAATGCCTTGTGTTAATTCCAGGGTCAGAAGAAAAATATTGTTCCTGGATCTTGAAAGAAGATTCAATTATGACTTGCTGTTTAAAGAGGCATTTAAATTAAAAATTTTAATCTATTCAAGTGAAAATTTATTCTAAAAACAATTTAGATCCTTTTATAAAAGCAGATCTTACGTATTCTGTATTTAAATGAAAATGTTTGCATTCTTTTTAGTTGTCTTATTAAATATGAACTTTGGCACCATTTTGATTCAGTTTTTCTAAATACCCATAAAATGGATAATTTACTCTACATTATTTTAGATTATTGTATAAATGTATATACAGGACATTAGTTAAGAAACAAAATAAAACAAATATGGAAAAATAACAGGCTCTAATTTTTCTCACTCTACTCCAGTCTAACCCTGTCTTAAATCATTTCAATGTCTATTTCAAATGCCCTCAAATGCACAAGATGGTTAACAATAACCATTTCAACCCCTTCTCTAATGTTTTTAACCCATCATATTGTACCTGGTTTAGACAACTTTTTTTTTTTAATCAGAAAAGTTGTATTTATGAGATTGCTTCAATCATAGTACTGTGTGTAGAAAAACCCAGTGGCTCTACAAATCTGTGGATATGCAGCCCAGAAAATTACAACTGTATTTCTCCTTCCTTTGGGATTCCGTGGCAGCCACTACAGATGTAGCTGAACCATCACTGCTATATGGCTTTTAAAAAGTTACCCAGTCAATTTCAAGTGAGTTGAGTCATGGTACCTTTAAATAGCAATACGCTTTCCAATTGCTACTGATAAACCTGAGGATGGCACTAACCTAAAGACCTCAATTACCGTGGCAGGAAATCAACTTCTTCCCATCCTATAGGTGCCTCTTATCGTGTGCAATATGGCAGAAACAAATGTATACATGTTAAATCCAGAAGGTTGTAATCTCAGCTATGTGACTTTATGTCTCAGGGTGAGTTCCCATCTCTGATTTTCAGTTTCCATTTTTACAGTATTGGAGATGATCAGATGTGACAGGAACATTATTTTGTGGCTTAGGGATAATACCATGAAGGCACTTTACATCTTTCCTGAAAATAGTGTATTCTCAACAACAACAACAAAATTGTTTTATTATTGTAGATCTTCTAATATGGCATAATAGATATAACCACTCATACCTTCTTTTTTTTTTACTTAGACACAAAAATGACTCATTTTATTTCTTAAGCAAAATATAATTCTAGTTTCCAATTATATGGATGTAATGTCTAAGATACCATATCCTTAGGGCAGAGATCCGTATTTTATTACCTTTTTATTGCTATCATCGATTACCGTTGAAATAAAATGAAATGAAGTGAGGTCATGTGGAGTAGCAATTGCTCACGCTCACAGGAGCCCACCATAGAGAATGCCTTGAGAGATTAGCTGATGAATTTCTTCAACGGTACCACAGAATAAGTGGAAAAGCTTGGGTTTTGAGAATAAGTAATAATTCCTAATAAGTTAGGTATACTTGATTTAAATTCTCATTTCTTTACCTAATATCTCTGTGGCTTAGAAAATTTATTTATCCTAAGTATCTGTTTTATTAAAAAGGATGCTAGTAGTATTTATCTCATAAGCTGATTAATAGTATGTGGAAATTTGTACAGAATTAAGCCCAATACATGATCAACAATGCATATATATGTGCTTGTTAAATGAACTACCTTACCAAAAATGTGGCTAGCAATTAGTGCTAGTTTTCTCCATTCTTTCCCTGCGGTTGGCATGCTCTGAGAGTAAGACCGTTTATGACAGTAATTCATATTGCTTCAAACATGTTCTTTACCAGTCCTTTTTATTTTTAGTAGTGTTATCAGGTGACAATGAAAGAAAAGTTTCCAGTAAATGTCACACTATGCATTCACATCAGAGTTTTTAGAAATATAACCTTTGTTTTAATTGAAATCTTGAAAACTGAATATTGGTCTCAGAGAACATGTCAAGTTAACTGTGAGAAAATATTGAAATTATTGTTTTTCCAGAAAAAAGTCCGCTTCTTTCTTTAACTCATGACCATAGCGAAGATTAAAGAATCTTCACCATCTTAAGCAGATATTTATTAACATTTACTATTGTAGATGCAGTGGGCACGGCTCAGCAGATATATGTGTTAACATGACCAGCATACTTCCTACCTTCATGGACTATAAAATTTCTGGACTTGCGATCAAGGGGTTGGAGGATGACTTAGTCATGTTGGGTTTTGCTTATGGCTGCATTACTTATGTGTTAGGTTAGCGTGGCTAAACTACAAATCTAATTGGTAAGTTATTTCAATCATGGAACCTCAATATGCTTATTAAGTGATAATAATATCCAGTTACTGTTTAGGTGAATTATTTTCTAGATGAAATCTTGGTTTTTAAATGTCCTGGCCTATAAAGCCAATAAAATTTGTTAATTAAAAGATGTTTTTTTAATCACAAAGCATAAGTTGTGTCTAACCGTATTTATAATAATAAACCAGCAACTCTCCAAATAGTAAATGGATAATTATTCTTCCTTAAAGGTTATATATCTATCATGCAGAATTGATCAGGTTACAGTAATAAGCAACATCAAAATCTCCCTCTTCACACATCCTTGCTCAAGTAGCATGTCCACTGAGTGTTGATGGGGAAAGATTTCTGCCCTGTGATGTCCTTGAAACAAGATCCAAGGTGATGGAGATCTCACTGTTCATTACGAAAGCACTGTTTTTGCACGAGGTAGAAGGAGACGGAAACTAAACCACAAACAGACTGTTAAATTCTTTCTCCAAGAAATGGTGTGCATTGCTCTGGTTCCCATTTTGTTGGCAAATCAAGTCACACGACCTCACCTAATTGCCAGGGGAGCAGAGAATGCAGTCTGACTGTGTGTTCGAAAGAAGAACCAGAAATATTTGTTGGCAGTCTTCATGAATATTGCTGATTGTTTAATATATACAATCCACAGACTACAAATCCTCTTCTGGAAAGAGGCAAATAGGAAAGGCCAAATAGAAGTTGCTAACTTTACAATTGTAACCTTAATAATAGTCTTTAATATTATTGCTTCACAAGAGATGTGACTTTTGAGTGCATCATTTTCCAATGTTCGAAGTTTTGGAAGCATCTCTAATTTATATTTTTGAAAAAATAATTTTTATATACCCCATAATAATCTGGTCTTTGCTAAGAGTGTAGATCTTCAGTGTGCTCACAACCCCCGTAAAATATGGTAACCTTGTGGAGTGATGGATATGTCAATTATCTTAATTGTGGTAATCATTTCACAACGAATGTATGTATATCAAATCATCATGTTGAACACCTTCTATATATACAATTTTTATTTGTCAATTATACTTCTGTAAAGCTGGGAGAAATAAAGTACAACCATAAAGAAAAATAACAATAGGCATCAAATTTAGTGTTGCTTGACTCAGGCCTTCTCATTCTGGTTCATTTTTTTTTTTGTAAACAGCATTTGTACGCTCAGGATTTCTTTTTAGGTATGCTTTTCTTTTTCTTTTTTGGTGAGGAAAATTGGCCATGAGCTAACATCTGTTGCCAATCTTCCTATTTTTTCTTCCTTCTCCCCAAAGCCCCAGTACATAGTTGTATACCCTAGTTGTAGGTCATTCTAATTCTTCTATGTGAGATACCACCACAGCACGGCTTCATGAACAGTGTGTAAGTCCGCACTCAAGCTCTGAACTGGAAAACCCCAGGCCACAAAAGCAGATGGCGCAAACTTAACTACTGGCCACAGGGCCCACCCCTCTGGTTCATTTTAAAATGAAAACCCCTTCTATATCTTTCTGGGGGAATTATTTTGAATTCTATTGGCATAATGTAAAATCCATACTTTTATACCAAGATTTAAATCACCCACCCATAAATTATGCTGAACAACATTAGGTGCCCAGCTAGGAGTTATGGAAGTACTGTAACAGTTGAAAAAAAACTGGCCTCAGGCTTAAGCGCTATTAATTTCTCTGTGACTATGAGCTGGACCCTCTGGATTAGAATAACTTTGTTTCTTCTAAATTAAAAAAAAAGTGTCACTCTGTAGCCTGCACTCTGATATCTAAAGATTTAGTTGCCTGATTCATCAGCAACTGACTGTCAACAATACAAGTGCTTTAAACAGAGCTCAACCATAAATTTTTGTTTCCTAACCTCACCTAAACTTACTATTTGGCAGTGATAGAGTCATGATAATTATTTATTTCTCTAAATATAAAGATGTATGATGCTTAGTAATGACTCTTGGTAATTAGCCTAGGAAACAGTCCAAGAAATAGTTGGAATTATACATACAAGAATAAGGAGTGTAGCATTGTATTTCATGGCACACCTTGACTATATTACAAAGGTCCATTAAAGGGGAAATGTACGTCCACTCAATGGAGTATTGTGCACTTCTCAAAAAAAGAATGTCATAATCTTTTATATACAGAAATGGGTTACCAAGTTTATAGTAAAGTTAAAAAATATCATTTGCAGCAGTTGGCCCAGTGGCATAGTGGTGAATTTCGTGCACCCTTGCTTTGGGGGATGGCTGTTTGCTGGTTCAGATCTCGGGTGTGGACCTACACATCACTCATCAAGCCACACTGTGGTGGTATCTCACATAAGATAAAAGGAGATTGGCACAGATGTTCGTTCAGGGTCAATCATCCTCTCTCTTTCACACACACACAAGATAGGTATATATAATTTGCCAATATAATATGAATTTGGGAAAAATATCCTGTGAACAAGCAAAAATTATTATCACTATTATACTGTAGGTTAGTGTATATATACACAAAGAAGAAAATGGGAAAACTTGAAATCAAAGCTTTTGCCATTGTCTTTGGGGCTAAAAATGCAAACATACTTTCTATTTTGCCTACTTCTAATTTGTTTGACTTATTTTAATAAAAAATATTCTTTATTGTAATCAGAATATAAAATGAATAAAAATGTGAAATAGAAATAAGTAATGTATACAGATTATATATTTTTTACAGAAGTCCTAAGTAACTTATGGTTTAATGACTCTTTTATTTAAATTATATAAAAACTTCCATTTGAAGTGTCTTGGATGAGTTTTGGTAGATTTACAAAATTGTACTTGATGGTACAACTCTTGTTCTTTGGATAAAGTTATAAGTTTTGTTAGGTTTTCCTTGAATTCAAAGTTAGATAGAATTTTTCATTTGCTTTTAATAAACTTGCATTTCTATATTGCTGAACAACAA